GTGTGTGTGTGTGTGTGTGTGTGTGTGTGTGTGTGTGTGTGTGTGTGTGCATCCGACAGCGTCGGACAGGGATATAAGCGGAAGGATAGCTTGAACAGTGCAATGAGTTGCATAATTCTGTCTGACTGTAGAGTAATAAATAGAAGGGAGAATTAACGACGTGACAAAAAAAACAAACACTGGGATCTGCGGGAGTTCAATACTCGTATCGTGAACTCGAGCACAGTGTGTATATCGTGGTTTTCATTTTTTTACAAATCCAAACCACCACGGAATTTCCTCGAAACAGCCTACAAGGCACACAGTCGGATGTGAAGATTTACGTATCGAACAGGTGATGATAAGATGAAATTCAATGAGAGGTAAAGGAGTGGATAGAGACGGGAACAGAAAATTACCAACGTTCACATCGCATGGAACCTGACACGAAACCGAAAACAATCAAGGTTCTCAATTTACCAACGATCCCACGTTCACGTGTTGATATCGCATCTACACACAACAACAACTTCATTTCATTCTGAATGACCACGTATACAGCGTTGCCTAAGAGATGCAAATTCAATTTTTTTTCTTTTGGTTGTCTTTTCATAGACGCGCATACTCGCATTTACATAGAGATATCTTCGGGTGTGACTTGCGATTAGGACGTTTCTTTGGTCCGGTTTTTTTTTGTTTTACCCCCTTTTATCGATTACACAGTTGACCAAACGATTTATCAAGTCTCTATCTTTCTATCTATCTATCTATTCGACAAATTTTTAATGTCTTTTTTTACTAAATGGAAACAGCTGGAGACAGACTAAATCCATATAGCAACCGAAAAAAGAACAGAAAAAGACCACGAAAACGTGGGGAAGGGATTGTTTTCACCACATCATTCAAACATGTAGCATAGCGAAAGAAAGACGCAAATTCAACTATACACATAGTAATATTGATCGTACAGTATGACTCCGGGGACAAGTGAAATCGAAGACCACATATATAAACTCCAAGTGGAGAGAAGGATAAAATCCTACAGAAAGTGTACGGTATATTCGCATTGAAAATAGAAGCATTGCAGAGAAGAAAAAAATTAGCTTGAAGAGGGTGGGGCAA